AGCGCACAGGGTGCTGCGTTTGGTGTGTCTGACCAGAAGAAGGCCGCTGCCGATGAGGCGGATGAAGCGGACGAGGGCGAGGACGAAGGCGCCGGTGCTGTGGATGACGGCGCGGGCGCGAGTGCTGCTTCGGGCGGTGACAGTCCAACCTCGAGCAAGGCGGTGCCGAGCGGTGTGAGTGGTTTTGGAGGCTTTGGTGCTTCTAGCGGCTTTGGCGGCTTTGGTTCGCTGGCCAAGCAGAGCGGCACCAGCTCTGGCTGGGGCAACAAGAGCGGCGGCGGTGACGCCGGGGGCCTGAGCTTTGGCAAGGTTCCGAGCCCACTATTCGGTAGCAAGGGCGGCGATGGCGCGTCGACTGCTGCTGACAGCAAGGATGGCGCGAGTGCTGCGGCGGAGGATCCCGAGGCGGAGATGCCGGGACTCGAGTTCAAGCCTGTTGTACAGCTTCCGGACGCGTCGGAGGTGGAACAGGTGACTGGCGAGGAGAATGACGAGGAGGTGTTTACGCACCGCGCCAAGCTGTTCCGCTGGGGCAAGACGAACGAGGGCATGAACTGGAAGGAGCGCGGGGTCGGCGACGCGAAGATTCTGCGCGATGGGCAGAGTGGCCGCGTGCGATTTGTGATGCGCCGGGACCAGACGGGCCGCTTGGCGGCGAATCATTGGCTGCGTCATGACAGCGAGGTGAAGGGCTTGTCGAACAATGACAAGACGTTGTCGTGGAGTGCGTTTGATGATGTGGACGACGAGGAGGCGGAGAAGCGAATCCACTCGTTTTGCATCCGGTTTAAGACTGCGGAGATCCGGGAGGAGTTTGAGACTGCGCTGAAGGAGGCGTTGTCAAAGGCCCCACAGGATGCGGCTGTTGTGTCAGAGGGGTCTGACGCTGCCAAGGCAAGCGGCACCAGTGCGGGCGTGAGTGCGAGCGGTGCCAGTGCGGGTGCCAGTGCGGGTGGCTTTGGCAACGGTGGCAAGAGCCTGGCGGCCCTGAGTGCTGAGACGAAGCAGCAAGGGGGCACGTCTGGTTTTGCTGGGTTCAGTTTTGGCAGCGCACAGGGTGCTGCGTTTGGTGTGTCTGACCAGAAGAAGGCCGCTGCCGATGAGGCGGATGAAGCGGACGAGGGCGAGGACGAAGGCGCCGGTGCTGTGGATGACGGCGCGGGCGCGAGTGCTGCTTCGGGCGGTGACAGTCCAACCTCGAGCAAGGCGGTGCCGAGCGGTGTTTGTGCGTCTCCCTTTAGTTCACCGGCTCACCAGACATCACGTCGCCGATCTTCATTCTCTACTCGAACTTCCCCTTTAATGTCACCTTCTCCGTCAGGGCTTTCTTCTGCTTCTTTCTCTCCTCTGCGTACCCCTGTTCCTGGTTTACCTTCATTCTCCACCTCTTTGCGAGATAACGGAAGTTCTTCTCCGATCAGTGCTGACCTTTTCGTCTCCACCCACGTGCCGGAATCCGACTCTCGCCGTTCCTAGTTTGTTGCTTGTTTACGATTGTTCCCGTTTCGGCCTCATATCAATGTGTTCTCCTTTCCTCTCTCAATCTGTTTTTGCTTCGGCGTTCCTTTGTCGCTCGTTTTTTGTCGCTGTGACAAGCGCGGCTTGCTTAGAGACCGATCCATAATGTTTGAGCGTTTGCTGACTTCGTTGATGTGACAAGTTGATGTTTTCATGTCGAAAATACCACGAAAAGATGGCGGTGCAGTGAGTCGAGGAGGCCGTTTTTATTAATGTGTGTCTTCTCATGGCACAGGCAGACACACAATTAGACAGACGCACAGACATCGACGCATACACAAACAGCGACGGAGACCCACACATATTCATACGAACCAAACAGACTGACAGACCAACCGACAGGTAGAAAGACAGACAAACGAACATGCAAGACACAGGACTTGGCATTGTCTGATCGTCCATGATCGCAGCCCACCGTTAAGTCAATCTGCGCATAAGATTTTGTCGACACATTTGTCAGATCCAATGTGCACAAAGGCACAAAAAGAATCACACATAACTCACTCCAAAAGTTTCTATTTCTGAAGTCAATTTTTCTGCGCTCTCAAACTGAAACCATGGCGAGTTTGATCGAAAGCTTGAGCTTTACACGCGTTGTTCTGCGTCGAATGACGCACGCGTTGCCTTCTGAATGCACGAGACACACGCATTGGCAGCTGCAGGATCTTTATACAACTTGCAAGCTTACACCAAGGCTGTTGTTTTTAGAAATTTCGTTTCTGCGGAGGACAAGATTGCCCTGACTGGCTGCTTGCCGAGATTTCCCTTCTGACCAAAGTCGTGCGTATCGGCTTGATGCCTTTTGATTGACAGAGGGGAAAGGTTCCAGGAACGCATTGCCATTGCTAATGTCCCTTCCGCTTAACAACTCTTTTAGAGCTCTGTGAAAATCAAGCTCGTGGCTTCGCACATCATCAAATACTTACTCGGCGAGACACTGGACGTGAGTGGTTTCGTCATGGTGTGCTGACCCAGTGACCTCAACTCGCTGTCGGCGACTCACGGCATTAATTAATCAAAACGAGTAGTATGCAAAGCTCGAAAGGCTCACATCCGATGCAAAATACGGTTCGTCAATGTTCACGCACTCTCAAGCGAAGTGAGAAACGAATGTGTCGCTCACTTCTGTGCACACCAGGCTCGGGCGACTTAGAAACACTTCTTGCAAGTTTACGCTTCATATTTACAAGCGCCGCGCGCTTTGATGTGGACAGCACCACTTTGAGCGATGAACTTCAACAGCTTGGTTTACCCAAGGGTTAGTGCTCTTGAAATTGAGAGCTTCGCCAATCCACATCGTTCCTGGTGGTTGCCTCTCACTTTCTTCCATTGTGAATTCGCAGAGCATTCTGCATCACTATGCAAGGCCTATGACGGCACTATTGATGGACTGCAGGCTCGACTACGCGAGGACAGCCTTCGCCGTAAGTTTTCTCGCCTGATGTGTGCTGTTGTTTCTATTCAGCTCACTTCACTACGGCTGCAGTCTGGCAGTTGAAAGAGTACGACTGGCGGGTTGATTACATCTTCGGAACATCGCAGACCCAGGTTTGTGCAAGAAGACGTTTGCTCATCAGTGGCTGCGAGCACTGAGTTTGAAATCCCTACTCTCTGCATTTTTATCGCTAATTTTTGGTCTTCTCACGCTGCGCGATTGTAGGTCCACGAGCCACGACTTTTGTTGCAACTGAAAACGTTGAACGGGGTCTCTGACTCAGCCGACGCCACAAAGTCGAGCACTGTGTCAATGACACGTGAGCAGTTGGAGGTCTTGATCTCAGGTATGTCTGAAAGGGCACCCGTCAAGGCTTGGTTGTTGGGTGGGGCTTGGTGTGAAGCTCGGGGTTTGAGCTCTCCATGTATCTAATCGTGCCTTGATGTCCCTACGCAAAAAAAAAAAAAAAAAAAAAAAAAAATAGAGCTGAAGAAAGCCCGCGAGCAGCTTGCTGCTCTACGCGCTGAACATTGAATAACCGCACCGCGTGCTCTTTGTGATGGCGCGCGTTTGTATGTCTGAGTGTTTTTGGTCAAAAAGAAAAGACGCGGTGAAGGTTTCAGGCTTGCAATTTGATACGTTGATATTGAACGGCCATTTATTCAGAGGCAGAAGTCTCAGTTTGCTTTGCTGTGCTGTGATCATGAACATGATCATCCTCAGAGTGATGCGATTTATGCTTCTTGCTTTTTTTGCTTCGCCTACATTGACGCCATGGGTTGTAAGCATGTCATGCAACCTTACAAAGGGTTGATGGCAACATTGGAAGGCTCGTGCAACTTACTTGGAAGGAGATTTCGAATCTCGTTCATACTCTTGGCTCTCAACCCAGTCCTCGTCATCCTCACGCCGGCGCTCATAATCGCGATCGCGCTCACTTTCACGTCGCTCGTGATCTCTGCGCCGATCACGTTCGTAATCACGACTTCGCCCGCGGTATCGATCGTAGTCATCGTCCCGGTCACGATAGCGACGATCATAATCACGATCGCGGCGTCCCCGGCGCCAATCAGGAGAACGAGAGCGGCGACGGCGACGGTCGGGCGAGCGCGAGTAGCGTCGACGGTAGGGCGAGCGAGAGCGGCGGCGAGGCGGAGAGCGTCGACGCGGTGGGCTCCGGTCCCTGTCAATTGGGCAGCGATGGGTTTAGCGATAGAATGCTACGCCAAGAGGGTGATAAAGCTAACAATGCTCGAATCTTATACCTGCGCGGGCTGCGGGAGCGTCGCTTGCCATCTCCCTCATCGGCACCGCTGCCTTTATCTGCACAAAAGCGAATAAAGCAAGACAGTGGGACCACGGGTGTGGGCAGGTTGCCATGGCGCCATCGATGTAAAACAAGGGAGCTACATACTCATTCGGGCAAGAATTCGGGCCTCAACATCACTGGCCCGCTTTAGGGCTTGGGCAGCAAGGCGGTCGCGAGCACCTGCATTCTGTTGAACCACAAAGAGGTGAATGGAACAGTGCCACGTCACGAGGAATTTGAGAAAACATCTATTTCAACACCTGTTGATGGCAAGTCATAACGGGAGACCAAAGCTTACCCTGGTTTTGACGATGTTGTGCTTGGCGTAATTGACAGTCACAAACCGGTCATGCAAGAGTGAGTTATTCAGCGTCAAACCCGTTGCAACATCTTCAATGTGAGCAAACTCAACGAAGCAAAATCTAGCGTGAAGACAACAGCCGGGTGGTTTGATTAGCCAATCTGTCCCATTGTCGGGAAATTAAATTGTAGATACAAAGCGAATGAACAAACCGTGCTTGTCGCGAAGGATCCATAACGATGCGCGCCTGCTTGATGGTGCCGCAGGTTGCCATCACTTTGACAACATCTTCTTGCTTAGTATGAAGCGCCAAATTCCCCACATACAGAGTACGTCTACACAGCGAGTTCAAGGTTAAAAAAGATGAAATCTCTTGGCGATGTTAGGCTAGCATGGTCTAACCTCATTTCGTCCATTTTGCCCGCTGCAGGCCATGGAAGCATGCAAAAGGAGTGAGATCTTGAGCAAACAAGAACAGTCAGCCGTCAGACATCATGTCGCTAAACTCACTTTCAACGACGTTAGCAGCCAGTGCGAAGTTTGTATCAGTGGCTTGTGGGGGAGGAAGGGATGCGACCGGGTTGTTGTTGAACGGATTCGGCATTGGGCCCAATTGAGCTGGTCCTGGTGAGCCACATGGTTAAATGAGAGTCATTTCGCAAAGTGTTATCGTGAAGTTGGTTCAGCTTACCGGGCATGGGTAGCATACTGGCTGCCATCATCGCGGGGTGAGGCGGCATGACGTCTACACAATCGCAAGAAAAATTAACAGTGGGATTCGTTCACAAGCAGAACGGACAGACGGTCGCCACGATGACAGGCTCAAGAGAATGCCAAACTCACTGCTTGCGACGGGCAGCGGTGGAATGTAGAAATTGACTCGCTTCTCTTCAGCCGGCATGTCTGCGAGAGTAATAATGTAATAAACAAGTGGGATGAATGACTCGTCGCTTCCACTCCAACCACTAAACCTCGATACTCACCATCAGCAGCTTCAACGGCCAAAAGGCGGCCAAGAAAGAAGCACTCGTGCAAGCATTGTGCGACGTCAACATCTTCCTGTCGAGCAAACCGAACATACAACTTGCGAGAGGCTCTGTGGGCAACGATGAAAAAAAAAGCGCATCATACCATGACCAATGAGACTTGCACCAGTCAGGATAAGGGCCTGTGTTCCGATTGCCGCAAAGAAGGGATGAAGTCATGGCATCCTACCCAGCATCAATGAGCATCATCTCTTTCACGTCGCCCACAGTGGTGATCAGCCCAGCCATGTGCTTTTGCTGCACGTTCGGCGGAAGATTCCCAAACACCACAACGGGCATTCTTGCGGTGGTGTGAACTTCAACGCAAGGTCACTTAGACAGAAGATTCCACTCAGCGATTGAAAAGGAGAGGCGACAAGGCCAATACATAGAGAGTGACGAAGCTGCTTGCTCCTCCTGCTAATCGTTGGTGACCGATTCACGAGGCTGCCAAGGTCAAGCACGACCACCAGCAGCGGAGGAAAAAAAAAAACCAAAATCACTGGAAGTCGCTGCCCGAAGACGGGTCAGAGAACTGCAGTAGACAACAGATGTTGTGCCAACGCGAAGTGACGCAAAAGACGCACCCTGATAAATGTCAGATCCTTTTGGCTGAACAAGATACGTTGAAACGGTCATCGCTGAGAAGAATGCCAGTGTGCACGTTTTCCAATTTGCCGTGAACGGTGCCCCGGCGGGCTTGGGGAAGGCCGACTCAGCAGTGAATGCTTGGTAGGGGGGGAGTGAAGCTGGTAGTTCAAAGGACAGGCTTGTCGAGCAGAGCCTGGGCTACTCCAAGAGGCGGACATCAGTCTATTATATTTCTGAGAGCAACGGTACAATGCCTCCACCTATTATTCGGCGGCATTTGCCAGCGCAGCTCGAAGGATCGGTCGGTCACGTATCAAGGAGCACAATACAAAATCGCTATAGAGTGAGCATTGCGCGCTAAACAACATCTTCTTCCAGTTGCCCACTTGTTTTGTTAATCGATCCTTGCTCACTGTTGGAACGATGGCGTAGGAAGCTGCTGACCCCGCTGTGCAACAACGTCTCACAAAGCAGATGCAAGTGCTAAACAAGATGCGTGCGACTACAGCTCAGGCCCAAACATCAACTGCATCAAGGTGAAATCGATATGATCTAAAGCCCTTGCAAACACTGTACGAAGCAGCGTCTCACACAAAGCGCCTGTACTTTTAGATCAAGAAAGCGGGTGATTGTCGGTCCACAGCCAGCCCGAGAAGCAATTGATGATTTGGAACACGACGACGAAGAAGGGCTAATGCAGCAACGACGAGAAGATAATTCAAGTGAGAAGGCCACCACACGTAGGGTTCACTTTCAAGATGATCAGCACCTCGCAGACAGCCAGTACACCAAGTTTGAGAACGATGCCAAGGCTGCCCCACGAACAACGAGCGGCGAGACGTTCAAAGGGTATGGCGGCGAACGAGCCGCGCCGGTGCGCCACCGTGACCAGGTGTCGCTGAAGATGGATGGTGACGAGGGGCGGTTCGCAACGACGTCGGAGAGTGCGTTTGGCGCCAAGGGCGGAGAGCGTGCCATGCCGATCCGTCCGCCGGCAGAGGACCAGGTGCAGATTGGGAGCCGAGGGCCCATGTCAGTGGGGACGACGAGCGGCGAGACGTTCAAAGGGTATGGCGGCGAACGGGCCGCGCCGGTGCGCCACCGTGACCAGGTGTCGCTGAAGATGGATGGCGACGAGGGGCGGTTCGCAACGACGTCGGAGAGTGCGTTTGGCGCCAAGGGCGGAGAGCGTGCCATGCCGATCCGTCCGCCGGCAGAGGACCAGGTGCAGATTGGGAGCCGAGGGCCCATGTCAGTGGGGACGACGAGCGGCGAGACGTTCAAAGGGTATGGCGGCGAACGGGCCGCGCCGGTGCGCCACCGTGACCAGGTGTCGCTGAAGATGGATGGCGACGAGGGGCGGTTCGCAACGACGTCGGAGAGTGCGTTTGGCGCCAAGGGCGGAGAGCGTGCCATGCCGATCCGTCCGCCGGCAGAGGACCAGGTGCAGATTGGGAGCCGAGGGCCCATGTCAGTGGGGACGACGAGCGGCGAGACGTTCAAAGGGTATGGCGGCGAACGGGCCGCGCCGGTGCGCCACCGTGACCAGGTGTCGCTGAAGATGGATGGCGACGAGGGGCGGTTCGCAACGACGTCGGAGAGTGCGTTTGGCGCCAAGGGCGGAGAGCGTGCCATGCCGATCCGTCCGCCGGCAGAGGACCAGGTGCAGATTGGGAGCCGAGGGCCCATGTCAGTGGGGACGACGAGCGGCGAGACGTTCAAAGGGTATGGCGGCGAACGAGCCGCGCCGGTGCGCCACCGTGACCAGGTGTCGCTGAAGATGGATGGCGACGAGGGGCGGTTCGCAACGACGTCGGAGAGTGCGTTTGGCGCCAAGGGCGGAGAGCGTGCCATGCCGATCCGTCCGCCGGCAGAGGACCAGGTGCAGATTGGGAGCCGAGGGCCCATGTCAGTGGGGACGACGAGCGGCGAGACGTTCAAAGGGTATGGCGGCGAACGGGCCGCGCCGGTGCGCCACCGTGACCAGGTGTCGCTGAAGATGGATGGCGACGAGGGGCGGTTCGCAACGACGTCGGAGAGTGCGTTTGGCGCCAAGGGCGGAGAGCGTGCCATGCCGATCCGTCCGCCGGCAGAGGACCAGGTGCAGATTGGGAGCCGAGGGCCCATGTCAGTGGGGACGACGAGCGGCGAGACGTTCAAAGGGTATGGCGGCGAACGGGCCGCGCCGGTGCGCCACCGTGACCAGGTGTCGCTGAAGATGGATGGCGACGAGGGGCGGTTCGCAACGACGTCGGAGAGTGCGTTTGGCGCCAAGGGCGGAGAGCGTGCCATGCCGATCCGTCCGCCGGCAGAGGACCAGGTGCAGATTGGGAGCCGAGGGCCCATGTCGGCGGGGACGACGAGCGGCGATGCCTTCCGCAGGGTATGGCGGCGAGCGGGCCGCGCCGGTGCGTCACCGTGACCAGGTGTCGCTGAAGATGGATGGCGACGAGGGGCGGTTTGCAACGACGTCGAAGGAGTGCTTTTGGTGCCAAGGGCGGGGAGCGTGCCGCGCCGATCCGTCCGCCGGCAGAGGACCAGGTGCAGATTGGGAGCCGAGGGCCCATGTCGGCGGGGACGACGAGCGGCGATGCCTTCCAAAGGGTATGGCGGCGAGCGAGCCGCGCCGGTGCGTCACCGTGACCAGGTGTCGCTGAAGATGGATGGCGACGAGGGGCGGTTCGCAACGACGTCGGAGAGTGCGTTTGGCGCCAAGGGCGGGGAGCGTGCCACGCCGATCCGTCCGCCGGCAGAGGACCAGGTGCAGATTGGGAGCCGAGGGCCCATGTCGCGGGGACGACGAGCGGCGATGACTTCCGCAGCTACGGCAGCGAGCGACCCGAGCCGGTGCGTCACCGTGACCAGGTGTCGCTGA